AAGTTAAGATGACACGTGAAGCTTATACAGTGCTGAAAAACGGACACGTCCTAGACTACCGTAAATTTTTGACAGAAAAGAACTAGTGGTGGGGATCCTTATACACAAGATCATTGCTGGCAACATAGAAGAATACTATAGCATTCCGTGAGGGGGTGGCAAGTATCATAATTAAGTTTCGAAAAAGGTCCAAGACGATCGTAATGTACAGACCTACGCGCCTCTATCGAGCCATGATGATAAGTTGGTTGAACGCTTCTTTGAAAACGTATATATATAGTCAGCCAATAATAAAGTAAGTCACAGTATACTATTCTGATAGGCGATTTTAACGCCAAAGTTGGAACGAAACAGGCCAGAGACAATGAAGTGGGGTAATATGGCATCAGCTGTAGAAATGCCACAGAGGAGTTATAAGTAGAGTTCGCCGAACGTAATATCTTAAGGGTCTTGAACATCTTCTTCAGAAAACGAGCTAACCGTAAAAGGATGTGGTGTAGTCCTAATGGCAAAACTAAAAATGAGACAGACTTCATTCTGTGTGCACACCCAGGTGCTGTACACGATGTGGAAGTAATTGGCAAGATCTGATGCAGTGATCAGAAAAAATGGTAACAGCTCGTATTCTCCTAGGTTTAAAAAAAGCAAAGACAAAAACTTCATGATACACAAGAAACCAACTAATGAACTAGCACTGAGAGCGAAGGCACGGCAATTAGGAGTTTCGCTTCAGAATATATTCAAGCCACTAAACGAGGTAACTGATGTAACAGTGACGCAATAAAGCTTAATCTTACTAGTATCATCATAGACTGTACATTGACAAAGTGCTTGATTGGGCCGGTTGGTGCTGCATGGTACATGAAGAAGGCGCTTAACAGCGCAAACGACAGGAGGGGATAAAAGACACGAAAACAGAGCGCGGAATTCTATCCCCTTTTGTCGTTTGAGCTGTTAAGCACCTTCTTCGTCTACCAAGAGTGTACAATGGAAGTCAAAGGTACAGTGACTGAACAGGACACTGGGAAATTATCTCAGGAGACGAACGATCTTGTCAAGAGATGACAGACCCTGAAAGCCTCAAACGTTACCGACAAAATTGAGCTAGTGGAGCTTTCAAAGTTAACCAATAGGCGTGAGGTAGCCGACGTCAGAAGGTATAACATCCAGAGAAATTAGCACTCTGTAAAAAGAGGCAGAAGACTGAAAGCTGCGTAGGCAAACTTGTACATAGGTAAAAATCAAGTATATGCATTAAGGAACAAAAAAAAAAGCAACGCCGTAACATAGATAGGATAGTTGAGGTGGCAGAGGAGTTCTACAGAGAGCTGTATTGAAGCCAAAACAGCCAGGATAATATCATTAGAAAGAATATTAGCCCAGAGGAATTTGACTTCCTACCAGTAACTGCAGGGGGGAGTAAGGAAAGCCCTAGAAGGAATGCAAAAGAGGCAAAACCGTTCATGAGGATAACAGTGGACCTCCTGAAAGATGGCGGAGAAATTGTGTTAGAAAACTGGCCACCTTATATAAGAAGTGTCTCTTGACGGAAAGGGTACCATAATCTTGGAAGAACTCTAACATCATCTTAATCAATGAGAACGAAGACGCCAAGGCCCTGAAAAATTACAGGCCAATCAGCTTACTGTGCATTCTCTATTAATAGTTTATGAAAATATCAGCTAATAGAACTCGGGCGACATTAGAGTTGCATAAGCATAAGAAAACGCAGGATTTGATAACAGCTATTTCACTATAGACCATATAATTACTATCCATCAGGTAATAAACAAATGAGCGAAATATAACCAACCCTTATACATAGTATTGATAGAAGACGAGAACACGTTTGACTCAGTCAAGACATCAGCAATAATGTAGGCACTACGGAATACGGACATCGAAAAGCGCTACATAAACATACTGGAAAAATCTACGGTTGATCCACAGCCACTATAGTTCTCCATAAAGAAAGCGAAAGAAACAGAATAAAGAAGGGTGTAAGGCAGGGAGACACGATCTCTCCAATGCTATTCACCGCGCGTTTACAGGACAGTTTCAGGACCCTAGATCGGGAAGAGTTAGGGGTAAGAGTTATTAGAGAGTATCTTAATAACGAGTGATTCGCAGATAAAATTGCCTTGATGAGTAACATCAGAGGACAAATTACAGCTCATGATTACAGAACTGAACACTCAAAGCAAAAAGTGGGCCTTAAGTTATATGCACAAAACTACAGTAGTGTAGAACAGTCTGGGCAGAAAACAGCACTTTGCTGTAGGTGGAGAGACGCTGAAAGCTGTAAAGAATGTGTCTATAATTAGGTTAGGTAGTAAGCGCGGAGCCTAACAATGAGACTGAAATACCTAGAAGAATTAGGATAGAGTGGATCACGTTCGGCAAGCATTCTGAAGTCATGAACAATAATCTGCCACAAACTCTCTAGAAGAAGGTATATAAGAGCTACATCTTGCCAGAACTTTCCTAAGGAGCAAAAACCCGGAGGGTTACAAAGAAGGTCCAGCTTGATTTGAGGGCGACACCGCGAGCGATGAAAAGGACAATAATAGCTTTAACCTTAAAAAACAAGAGGTCAGATTGGGTCAGAGAACAAACCAGGATGAAAGATATCATAGTTAAAATTTAAAAAAATGGACATGGGTCGGGCACGTAGCACGTAGGCAGGATTACCGCTGGTCTTTAAAGGTTACTGAATGGATTCTCAAGAAAGGCAAATGCACGAAAGGGAAACAGAAAGTTAGGTGGACCGATGAGATTAGAAAGTTCGCAGGGATAACGTGGCAACGGAACGAATGCGACCGGGTTGAATGGCGGATCATGGGAGAGGCCTTTGCCCTGCAGTGGGCATGAACAAGCTGATGATGATGATGATTAAACAGTTTCTTATGGTGAATCAATCCATCAATCAATGAGCTTTATTAAGACAAAAACTTAACTCAAAGTATCAAGTATTCTGACGAGGGTCCCAAAGTTCGCGGCTGCTAAGAGCCCTCGGTTATGGTTACAATTGAATAAGACAAGTGAAAGCAGCAGTAGAACACAAAAAAAATTTGAAAGCAAATAGGCCAGAAACCAAAAAAACAAAAACACAGCATATTTTGAGTAAGTGTAAAAGCACCACCACACTGAAACAACTGAAAAGCCAATGAATGCCTAAACTAAAATAAAAAATGAAACAACATGGCACTGAAACACACTTCATTAGTACAATATATAGCAATAAAACTGGTACACTAAAATGAAGGAACTTCACGTATTTAACAAAAATTGCTGTAATGAATTAATAAATGGAATCAAAGAAACTTTACGTTTTAGCGTTGAGGGTAAAGTGTTTCATAATACGATGGTACAGAAGTGTGAAGATGATTTACCGTAGTTAGTATGAATCATAGATAGCAGGAAGTTGTTGTTGGCCGCAAACCATGGAGTGTTAGTATTAACTAAAAGTTCATATTCAATGAAATCGGTTGAGAGCTTATGTGTTACGTGTTTACGCAGAAACATGTATAGAAATAATCTAAATAAGTTTCTAACAGTTAAGATATATTACAAGTGAGGAGGCACGGAATGTTACTGTGGCGACCACGGTTAAAAATGACGCGATGGGCTCTATTTTGTAAACGCTGTAAAGATGAATGATGATACTGATAAGTATTACCTCATAAAGCTATACCGTAAGTGATATGAGAATGATAGAAAGTGAAGTAACGACAAAAGAGTGCTTTATGAGAGATATATGAGTGAGCTCTAAGTAGTGCGCGAATGCCAAATGCTCTCGTTTCTCTAACGTGAGCAACTTGGAGGTTGAATTGAAGGCTTACATCGAGTAGAACATCAAGAAATGATACGCTGCCAGTGATACTAATAAAATGAGAGTCAATGGTAATCATTGGAGATGAATTACCTTCTATTGAGGTGATTTAGAAACCATAAACTTAGATTTATTTCAATTAATAACTAGGTGATTTTCCTTACACCACATGACCACATTACAAGTGCAGCATTTATATTATTAGCCACACAGGTAACACAATTATCAGCAAAGGAAATGGTTGTATCGTCAGCTTATAAGACGCAGTGAGCCTTGTTTAAAATGTCAGGAAGGTTATTATAGTACAATAAAAAATAAGGGACCCAGTAGTAGGCCTTGGTGAACCCTTAATTTATTGTTTTAGTCGATGAAAAGGAACCTGCTATGTATGCAATATGTTTTCTATTAACCAGTTAACTGTTTAGAGAATTAAGGGATGCACCTGTGATACCGTATGCATCTTACTTCTTGGACAAAATGAGATGAGAGTGGTGTCGAATGGCTTTGATAAATCTAAGAAAATGGACCCGATGATGCACCTTGAATCAATGAAGCGGTTGATTTAGTCAAAATGGAAAAGAAGGGCAAAGTTATTTGAACTTCCAGAGTGAAAGCCAAGTAAACAGGACTTCAATACATTAGCTTCATTCTTTTTAAGCTGAACTATAAATAAATTTGATGACCTTAAAGTGTGAAGAATGAATATAGATAGGACGATAACTAGAAAGACATTGTTTATCACTTTTTAAAACACTGCAAGTAGTTTGGCTATCTTTAGATAACCAGCACACTCACAGAATCACGAACGCCATCTAGACTAGCTTGGGCCTATTCTCATCCTCCTTTCCGAGTGCCTACGTCACTACACTCTTGACGGAGTTGTTTGCCTTGTTGGCGCTTTCGGGAAATGGGAAACCGCATGAACCGGGCATATGTTTCGCATCTCTTTCAAGCAGGATTTGTAACTCGCCATTAGAAGACTAACGAGTTTGTAGCAATGGTCATTTCAGAGAACGCACCCTCCGTGCTGCCCGTTCTTTCCAAAAGACGTCACCGAGAAGTGATGAGGCCTTAGCAGGCGAAAGCCTCGGACTCCGCTAATCTGTGAAGTGTTCGAAATATTGCGCTCTTTCTTTGTGTTTGAGAAATTGTTCGGCTCCCTTTGCAGACGTCATCTGTATGGACAAGTGCGAGGCCCTCGTTCCCAAACTTGCCAAGGCTGCCAAGCAGCTCGAGGAAGAAGGCTCGGACATCAAGGTGGCCAAGGTGTACGCAACTTTCAAGGGCCTGCTCGTTTGGAAGTACACGCAGAGCTTGCCGAAACTCATGTTTTTCCGCAACGGACATCCGGTCGACTACAAGGGTAGCCATACCATAGAGGAGATGATCCAGTGGGTTAAGAAGAAAACCGAACCACCGGCTCAAATACTCAGCACTGTGGACGATGCGAGGATCTTCGTGAACAGCGCGAGGGTCACCATCGTGGGCTTCTTCAAAAACCAGACAAGCCTCGAGGCCAAAGAGTTCCTAAAGGCTGCGTACACTATCGACCGGCACGCGTTTGCCATCACATCGGGCGACGCCGTCTACAAGGAGCTTGGTGCCAGCAAGGACGGAGTGATGCTCTTCAAGAAGGTCAGTGCTGTACAGTGGAAGTTGGTAGCTCACCACAAGTTAGACCTACACCATGTTAGTGAACAGCGGGAGGTACCGTCGAGTTACTGAGGTGCTTGTAGTGACGTCGTGGCGCGTAGGCTCTGCCCAGTGCTTACTAATTACGTCGACGACGCCTACCGCTTTTTACAAATATTTTATTAGTTTTATAGTCGCCCCGCCATGATGGTCTAGTAGCTAAGGTACTCGGCTGCTGACCCGCAGGTCGCGGGATCAAATCCCGGTTGCAGCGGCTGCATTTCCGATGGAGGCGGAAATGTTGTAAGCCCATGTGCTTTGATTTTGGCGCACGTTAAAGGATCTCAGGTGGTCCAAATTTCCGGAGCCCTCCACTACGGTGTCTCTCATAATCGTATTGTGGTTTGGGGACGTTAAACCCCACAAATCAATCAATTAGTTTTATAGTCTGTGACAACTTTAGAGTAAACATGAAGATGTATAGAGAGGATTGAGAGAAACGCTAACATATGGCATCTAATATATCTGTTTTGCCTCTGTTTTCAAGCTGTTTCAGCATGGATAGTTACAAACAACTAATATGAAAAATCCATAAACCAGGGTTGCGTAGAGCCGACATTTCGACAAGATGACATGGCTTCCTCAAAGCGAGAACAGAACAGTTTTATTCTAGCCTTCAGATAGACAAGTCCGCTTGTCGAAACGCAAACTTCCAACTTTTCTTCCTACCTTTTTTTTTTGAAAAAGCTACTAGTCATTTATGGTACACTCGAGGACCTTCTAGTATCTTGCGTCACCTCCTATTTCGGAGCCTTTTGTAAACAAAGTGCTGTGCTCTATGTACGTCTTTATTTCTATATCCAACTCAGCGCACCCCCTTGCGCTACCAGCATCCGTTTTAAAGGGGGCTTTAAAACTTTTTCAATCAACCACGAAATGAATTCAGTGGAAGATCTTATTGCCTCGCAAATTCAACGCCGGAAAAATTTTAAGAGTACATCCAGTGCGAGTGGAGATCCATAGGTTTGTCGCATACTGCAATTCCATTCTTTATTCTCTCGTCCCGACGAAAGCACGTGAATCTAAGCAGCGATTGATGGAATGGCCACAGAAAAAGGACACGGGCGCCTTCTGACCTTGAGCACTTTTTTTTGTTTTGTTTGAAGGCGCGGCTTTTTTAGTGAGCTCGCGCACACATAGATGGATGGATTTTATGATTGTAACCTGTATATCGGGCGGTGGCTAACGCCACCAAGTCGTAACATTTAGTGAACCAAAATCTGGGTTTATTTTTTTCCTTTCAATAGTGAGGTTGAGGACTCGTACTTTGCAGTGAAAGGTTTAATTTAGACTCAAGCCTTGACTTTAGCCACCAATCAGATAACCTCCTTCTAGTTAATTCTAACCACTTCGTCTAGTTTGCCCTCCCTGTCTCTCCACCTTAACCACTAGACCACCATGGCGGGCCCTATACGAAACGTTAAAAAGGCCGTTAAGTCATTAGTATATCGTGTCAACGAAGAGCCTGAGAACTCTTTCGAAACTTCTATAGCCCTTCTCAATAGAAGCCCAAGCAGCGCGACCTTTGGTTTTCCTTCGTTGTACTCATACTCATGATTAAAAGAAAAATTATACAATCTCGCACAAAAGGAAATTATCTGTGAATAAAAAGCAGCTCCGATGTTCACTTCTCTTTCAACTTGTTTGCACTTGTGTGTTTCCGTGTAGGGTTCATTTGTGTATATGTTGTAGGTAAAGACTTCACTACAAAAGTCAAGGACAAAAAAAAAACTGTACTAACACTGACAAAGCGCCTCAAACAACCAAGTTTACTGAAAAACAAAACAAAAAGGGGTTGGGATGACAATCGAGAGAGAGGGCACTGATAGCAAACCATGCACGATCTTACCATGGTGCTATGTTTTATGGCAGAGATAGCACCCTGGTAGGATCGTGCGTGGCTTATTTTCAGTGCCCTCTCCCTCACATGCTACACCACCCTCTATTTGTCTTTTTTAATTGTTTTGGTTAGATGCGCTTTTTCTGTGTTAGTGCAGTTTTTTGTCGTTCTTAACTTAGCAGTGCGTCCTTTACCTACAATATGTTCAAATTAGCCCCCATCCAAATTTTCCTGAGAGTGTACGCTGCGTATCGCTTATGCTCCCTCTATTCCTTTGTGTGTAGTACCGTGAGGGTGTGTGCCGCAATGTGGACAACCAGTGCAGCGCGAAGAGTGCAACGAAGCGAGCGCGCGCTATACGGGCACGCAGCTGCGGTGCGGCAAAAAGATAAATGTTTGTTGTTGTTGTGTGATTCTAGAAAGAGGAAGAAGACACCTAATAAATGGGAACGGAGAAACAAACCGGAGGCAGTGCTCTGCCGCCTCCTCCATCCCACATTTTCATGCTCACGCGAGGAGAGGGTAAGAGTGTGGACGGTCGCCGAGACGGTCGACGGATACAGCCGCGAGCAAAGGTAGCTTCACATTAAAAAAATATTAGGCAGCATCCAGCTGCTCCGGCGGCGATCGGGCAATGCTCCACTTGAATTTAGAGAACACCCATTCAACCCTTGTCATGGGTGAAAAAAATCCAAATTGGTGACGTCTGCGCAGCGAAGGCCGTGGGGCGCCTCGACCCTCAAACACTTTATGTATGCTTGAAACGCGGCTGCGTTTTCCCATACGGTCATTTGCAGCTGTACAGGGTGTCTCAATGCATGGGCCAATGCTGCAAGTAGTACGGTATGGTATAAAAAACTTTAATAAGGTTATGAGAAGCAGTCCAGGACTGATGCTGACTGCTCCCACGTCGGGACAGAGAGGCCAAGCCCCTCTGCCGCCACACGGGTCCTCAAGACAACCCCGAGTTGGTCTGCCAGCGCGTCATTGTGCAGCATTCGCTGTACTATGGTCTTTTTGGCAATTTGGATTCGTAATCTGGTCCTGATTGTTGGCTACCA